TCTTGTATTTTCAATTTTCCGGCTTAGCTTTCTTTTAATATTCGTCACGCGCTGCACTGCGCGAAAAATAAAACTATTTAATTTATAATTGAACTAACATTAGCTTTTTAAATACCAAATTCGTAACACTGCCCCCTTCCCAAGGACTGCACGTCCCGGGCAGTACAATCCCTGGACAGGAAGCCTAACTTACGACTGAGGCATAAATGCAACTGAGGAATAAACATTACATTAAAATATCAAACAACATGAACAATAAATGTAACAGATAACTTAAACAAATCAAATTCTAAATACAAATCAAATCAAATACACATTTAAAAACAAAAAGGACCATGGTCTTATACTATTTACAATTATTTACATTACATACTATGGTCATAGTAATGAGCTAACCTGTCGTAATGAACGACTTTAGGTTTAGAGTTCGAAGACTTACGGATCCGAACCACGACGTCATTCAGTCTGTTTAGGACCGTGTACGGACCATCCCAAGGTGACTGTAATTTCGGACGAAGTCCTTTCCGTCGAGTCGGATTCCACAACCACACCTTGTCTCCTTCGTGGAATTGATGTTCAGTAGCTCTTGTGTCGTATCGGGTCTTCATCTTCTCCGTCGCCAAGTTGACTCGCTCTCGTGGAAAGTTGTGCATCACTTCAAAACGGGCCTGGAGATCGTGTATATATTCCTCAGACGATGAAGGAGCATCCGGAAGGCGGCCAAACAATAGATCACAAGGCAGACGAAGGTCACGACCGAAGAGCATCTGTGATGGAGAATAGCCGGTAGTCTCGTGGACAGCACTGGGATAAGCCAGTAAAAAGAATGGTAATTTCTTGTCCCAGTCCTGTTGGTTTCTGGAAACCACTAATGAGAGGTTATTAAGGATGGTTCGATTGAACCTCTTTACCATGCCGTCCGACTAGGGATGCAATGGCGTCGTTTGAGTTTTGTCAATGCCGAGTAGTTTGCATAGTTCTTTGATTACTGCCGAGGTAAAATTCCTTCCCTGATCGGAATGTAACTGAAGAGGCACTCCGAACCTGGAAATCCAGTGATGTATCATTACCTCAGCTACTTGGACAGCCTCTTGATCAGGAATAAGATAAGTTTCAGGCCACTTGGTGAAGTAATCAATGACAACGAGTATGTAGTTGTTGCCATAAGCAGTTCGTGGCAGAGGTCCCAGGATGTCAAAGGCGATACGTTCAAAAGGCGCCCTTACGTTGTAACGTTGCAGCTTGTCTCGGCTGCGTCTCCTCGGTCCTTTCCGACCTGCACAGGAATCGCAAGATCGGCACCACTTTTGCACGTCATCCTTTGCATTATTCCAGTAAAAGCGCTCACGAACTCTCTGCAAGGTCTTCATTATTCCAAAGTGACCTCCTGTAGGGCTGCTATGTAATTCTTTAAGGACATCAGGAATGCGGGATCTTGGAAGTATAAGTAGCCATCGGAACGTCTTCCCATCATCCCATTCGAATTTCCGGTATAAGACTCCGTTTCGAATGTGAAGTGAATCCCAGAGTGCCCAATATTGTTTGGTTGTAGGACTACAGATAGAAATGTCCTGCCAGGTAGTTTTTCTGTTTGGTGACTCCATTAAATCAATTATGGGTTTAATGTCGCGGTCTTCCAGCTGTTCTTTCCTGACTTCATCATCACTCTACGGTTCTCGATCAGCCGATGTTGATGTTGTAATTTGTCTTGCGACGGGAGTCAGCAGCTCGTATTTTGCTTCGACCCTGGAACAATATCGGCAGCTTTTCGGGCAAGGTCGTCTAGACAGGGCGTCGGCGTTCCGGTGTGATGATCCCTTACGATGACCGATAGTGATGTCACATTCTTGGAGTCTCTGTAGCCACCTGGCTATTTGACCCTCAGGATTCTTGAAATTTAAAAGCCAGGCCAATGAGGCATGGTCCGTGCGGAGGAGGAATTTTCTCCCGTATAGATAATGATGGAAATGTTCTACAGCTTTGACTATGGCGAGCAACTCTTTCCTAGTAACACAGTAATTCCTCTCCGGTTTAGACAGGCACTTGCTCCAGTAAGCTACTACACGTTCTTGGCCGTCTATTTCTTGGGACAAAACAGCACCGACACTTTCATTGCTCGCGCCCGTGTCGAGAATAAATGGTCTGTCGAGCTGAGGATACGTCAGGATTGGGGCAGATGTTAAAGCTTCCTTTAAGTTGTTAAATGTATTCTCGCATTCCTTTGGCCACAAGAATCTATGCTTGCTTCAGCTTGCGAAGGGGTCTTGCGATGGAAGAAAATTCCTTCACGAATCTCCTATAGTAGGTGCAAAGCCCTAGAAAGCTTCTCAACTGATGGACATTTTCGGGACGTTTCCAGGATTTAACGGCTGACACCTTTTCAGGATCCGTGCACACACCTTCTGCAGAGACGACATGTCCCAGGTAAGTCGCTTCCTTTCGGAACAATTTGCATTTAGCGGGACTCAGCTTCAGATTGGCTTCTTTCAGTTTCTGAAGCACCTTTCTAAGATTTTCTAGATGATCTTCAAAACTCTTTCCGACGATGATGATGTCGTCCAGGTATTTCAGGCAGGCTTCGTAGGAAAGGCCTTTCAAAACAGTCTCCATAAGACGTTCGAATGTTGCCGGCGCATTACACAGTCCAAACGGCATCACCTTGAATTGCCAAAGTCCTTGTCCCGTAGTAAATGCCTTCTTTTCTCGGTCATCAGGGTGTATTTCTACCTGCCAATACTCACTCTTTAAATCAAGTGTTGAGAACCACTTGCATCCAGAAACAGTGTCTAGAATGTCATCAATTCTAGGAAGAGGGTAACTGTCTTTCTTCGTAACCTCATTCAACCGGCGATAGTCAACGCAAAATCTTGTTGAGCCGTCTTTCTTTCTGACGATAACGAGGGGAGATGCCCATGGACTTGCTGAAGATTCAATGACATGGCCTTCTTCCATATCCTTTAAAAGTGTTCGTACCTCTTCCTGTTTAGCAAACGGTAAGCGTCTTGGATGTTGCTTGATCGGGAGATGATCGCCGGTATCGATTCTATGTTGTGTCAAACTAGTTCGACCCACGTCAGAAGATGAGCGGGAGAAAACAACTTGAAGATCTTTAATGACGTGATCGGCAGCATTCTTCTCAGTGATTAGTAATCAAGGCTTATGTGAGTAGTGCAAGTGTGCATATTATCAGCAAATAGTATACATGTGAATTGTGTATATGTATTTAGTGTCACAGCAAAGCGTATTTTTGTGCATATAGTGTTCTTACGTATAAACCCGTGCAAAACCAGTGTATGTTCAGTGATAAACAGTATCTATTCAGTGTTATCAATAGTGCATATTCAGGATAACGCTACTTCGTGAAATACTTCAGTGATCATAGTGAAAATTAGTGCTTCACTCTTAGTGACTGGTGACATAGTTCTGAAGATCCCTGTAAGTTGTGATTCCTCGTGCATATCACACAGCCGGGATACACTTTGACATGTTGCGGCATTCTACCATTCCGGAAAACGCAGAAGCATCATCTTCCCAAGGAGCTTTTGATCCGGTTGCCTTACTTGACTCAGATCTTGCACAGAAAGCAAAAATATCTGCCTTAGCACAAGAAATACATAAGATCTCAAATACTTACAGAGCAGGACGATATCTATTACCACAAGATCTCAGAGATCGTCTGCAAAAATCTCTAGAAGTGCTACAAGGCTTAGCACTCGCGGGGCCAGAGTTTCGACAGAAACCGGCTTGTACTGAGATAGGCACAAATACTTCCACCATTGTGTGTTGTACTGCGGTTCACACCCCTCCACCTCCTACGCACCAGCCTCTCACTGAGCAAATAGTACCACAGGCTCCGTTACCAATCCCATCGTTTGCGGAGGTTCTTTGCAGATCCAGTATACCAAGCATTGTAATTAAATCTAAGTCCAAGAAGCCAACCGGTGATCTTAGACGGGAGTTGCAAAGCAAAGTCCCTCTTACAAATATTCCAGTAACAGTCCAGAAAATCCAACCGACACCACAAGGAGGCTTGGAGGTCTTCTGCCAAACGACAGAGGAAATAAACCAGTTACAAGAACACCTGCAGAAAGCGGACATTGATATAGATATTAAAAAGAGACAGCGCCGTCGACCACGAATTGCCATTCACAATGTCTCGGAGGGAACGAAGCCAGAGGATCTTATATCAGAGCTCAGTACAACGGCTGGCACCTCAGCAAAGCACTTCCAACCACTCTTCCGACTGCGGGAAAGACGGCCCAAAAACGTCAAGTGGGTCATTGAATGTACCGCAGAAGGATTTGCTGCTGTTATCAACATCAGGCGAATTTTCACTGGCTGGCAATCACACGCCATTACCGAATTCTTCGGCATACGTCGATGTTACAGATGCCAACGATTTGGCCACAACCAAGATGCGTGTCGATCCACAAAAATTTTCTGCGGATACTGCTCTGGAACACATCATACCAAAGAATGCACCGCCGAGCATCCCAATTGTATCAATTGTGGAGACTCCAACAGCAGATTTGGAACGCGATACAACTTTAACCACCCAGCCTACGCCCCAGAATGTGCCATATATCAACGGGAAGTTGATACCATCCGCAGCACAACCGATTATTAGGGAACAACGACCTAATTCAACTTCTACAGATGCACGACTTCTACAGATGCATAACATTTCCTCGATCAATAAAGAACTAATTAGAAGAGTGGACCCAATAAAATTTTTACAGATAAACCTACAGCGTGAATGGGCAGCAGTCGCTCAGATGATACAGTACGCAATTGAAAATAAGATAGGCATTATCCTTGGTCAAGAACCGTACACTAGAGAAGGGGCAGCAGTCGGATTCCCAATGCAATGGACGGTTTATCAAAAACCAAGTCATGACCATTCGCCCAGAGCGCTAATTGTATGTTGCAATCCGGACTGATCTCCAACAGTAGCAGCACTGGAGCGAGATAACGTGGCAATACTACTCGAGGTCCATTCGATGTCAATCCTCCTAACATCCAACTATACTCCACCCACGGCAGATATAGAACCAACTACAAGATTTCTAAATAGAATTATGCAGCAATTCAGAATGCCAGACAAGATTTTCGCAGGGGATTTTAATTCCCACAACACAGCTTGGGGATACCGCGCAACTGACTTCTTCAGAACACGACGGATGCACCGCCAACTTTTGATAGATCATTCGCAAAGGGGGTGGCCAGATCTAACACTGACTACTCCACACACTGCACTCTACCTACAAAACTGGAAGGTCGAAGAAGATGAAAGTCTGAGCGACCACAAGTTCATCACCTTTTCACTCGAGAAACAGACCATTGTCTCAAAGATACGACGCTATAATCTTCCAGGACGGAAGATTAAAACATTTTCTAAGAAAATAAAAGACCAGCTAACACATTTAGACCAGACGCTACAGCAACTGACCACAACATCTGAACTGGAAGAATTCACGATAAAATTGCAAACGGTAATTCAGAACACATGCAATGAATGCTTACCTCTACGAAAGCCCAAGAAACTTCAGGGACTAAACTGGTGGTCTAGCACACTTAGAACAAAACAATCAAAATGCCGGGCACTCCGAAGGAGACTTAAAAATGAACGAAGACTGGGAATTCAGTCAAATACCTTGACTGTCTTCCGACAGGAGAGGGCCGCGTACAAGCGCATGATAATTCAAGCGAAAATTGCATCTTGGCGAGACTTCTGCACTCAAACCAAAGAGGTGTACGGTATCCATCACAAAATAGCCACAGCAAAAATCTTTAAACCGTCTCAACTACAAGTTCCCTCAACCCAGACCACCGTGGAGAGTCACACAGCAGATACTATTCGGGCTATCCTTAATACGGTATTTTGCCAGGACGACGCACAGCTTGACACAGAGCTGCAAGCTAACATACGTTCGGACACCACTATTCCAGAAACCGATGCAGATCGAAATATTACAATAGCAGAGCTGAAGCATATAATACACAACCTCCCAAAGAAAAAAGCCCCCGGCCCAGACGGCGTCGACTACAATAGCCAAAACAATAATCCTAGCTCACCCAATGTTTTTTGTAGTCTTCTTCAACAAACTGTTACATACGGGTACCTTCCCAAAGCCATATAAAATTGGACAGGTTATCCTTTTTCTTAAGAAAAATAGGAACCCTGACGATATGACTGCCTATCGGCCCATCTGCCTACTGCCGGCAATGGGCAAAGTACTGGAAAGGATAATAATGAATAGACTACAATACCATCTGCAAAAGAATGAATTCCTGAGTCCCAGACAATACGGATTCCGACCAGGAACCTCAACGATACATGCACTAACTAACATCAGAGATGCAATACTAGAAAATCGGAATAGCGGCCACCATACAGCAATGGTCAGCATAGATTTAAAGAGTGCTTTCGACACTCTATGGTGGCCGGCTATTAAAAGTGCACTTAGAAAGTCAAACTGTCCTAGTAACATCTATAATATCGTTTGCCACTACCTAAAGGACAGGAGACTCCTAGCCGCCCATAATGCTGGAATCCTGGACATTGAACAAACGAGAGGTTGCCCGCAGGGCCGCATTTGTGGAACTTAACTTTCAATGAAGTACTCTCCGCCACGTGGCCGGCGCACACCCAAATCTACGCATATGCTGACGCCGCCGCAATAATTGTCAAGGGTCGCACCAGGGAAGAGCTACAGTCGCACTGCAATGAAGTATGCCATCTCTTCTATGTTAGATGCACAAATCTAAAACTACAAATAGCGGACCAGAAATCCAAAATCCTCCTGATTCCAAAGAAAGGTGGTTCACTCGCAAGACGCCCCACTATCAAATTAAACGACCAAAGAATTAAAATAGTTAATAATTTAAAATACCTGGGAGTAACGTTTGACACAAAAATGACCTGGATCCCCCACATTCAAGATCTTAAGCTACGCACCTATGCCATAGCCAAGCAAATGCGGCAGTTCTACGGACACAAGTGGGGACTAAACCCCCACATTCAAAAAGTATTGTATACAGCAGTAGTCGAGAAAATTGCAACATACGCGGCAGCGGTTTGGTCCCACCCAATGCAGGGTAGGAAGATCAAACATCTACATGCAATACAACGACCCTTCGCGTTGGGTATAACTCGTGCCTACCGCACAACTTCATCAGACGCGCTCAATGTTCTCGCAGGCTTGCTTCCACTTCACATCCGTGTCGAAGAGGAGGCTGCCAGACAAAATGTGCTGCAACTCAAAAAACCAATTACTTTTGACGAGGATTATTATCATCCGGAAGAATACCAGGGCACCAATAGACCACTACATGTGCACCCAGCAAGCAAAGGTGTGGGAGTCAAGGTTACCATCAATCCCATCACGACAAACCCTCACGTTTTATAACATCTTCACTGACGGATCTAAAATCGACGAAAATGTGGGGAGCGCATACGTTGTTATGCGACAGGATGCAATTCATGCACAATGGAAGGCTCAATTACGGCCGCATAATAGCGTTTTTCAGGGAGAAGCGGTAGCGATTGCTGAAGCAGTTAACTACCTGCTCTCCCATGACATTCAAAACGCTACCATTAAAACCGACAGTTTATCGTCCTTACATGCGATAATGAACCCTAACCACGCCTCAAGAATTATACAGGATATCCAGGAAAGCCTGCGCCAAAGCAATAGGCACATTAAACTGGAGTGGATAAAGGCACATGTAGGCCATCTCGGCAACGAGATGGCGGATCTACTCGCTAAAGAAGCGGCACTAGGGCCGACAGACATACAAATTGAAATACCACGGCCGGTGTCATTACTAAAGAAATCACTGCGACTCAAAGCAATCAGCCTATGGCAGCAGGAATGGGACAGCAGCACCACTGGCAGACGTGTACATTACCATATCAGCTATGTGGACACAGCACGGAATGTCGCCAACACACAGCTGATATGTCACGGGTCATCACCCTTTCCGGTATATTTCCAAAAATTTGGACTTTGGCACACAGACCAGTGTACATGTGGTCACCTCGGCTCCCCGGAGCACTATCTAACAACATGTCCATTAACAGAGGGACACCGCATTCGTATACCGACCGCCAACAGGCAGGCCTTTTGCAAGTTCCTAATCAAACAACTGCATTTAGTCCTGAAAATCGGACGCATAATGGACAAACTAGCAGAACTGAACACTGACTTATGTCAAAACTAGCACACCGCGCAGACAAACTTGCATCAAAAGCCTTAGAAACTGCACACACAGAGGTGCATGTAGATAATTTAACATACAAAATACTCCAGCCTCGGCGTATGTTTATAATAATGAATATCTGTTGTCACAGCGATGTTGTAGCAATGTAATTTTTACAACCACAATTTATTTATTCCTCTTTTTAATGTATATAATACACATTTAATGTCAAACTGAATGCATCTTATAAAGGTCAATGTTTGTACCGTGAATATTAATACTCCCTTTTTGCATAAATGTATATTATGCTTAATGTATGTCAATATAAATTTTATTTGCAGCGCAACTATGTGACAGTGTCATAATGTTTTAAATAACCACTACTTGCTATCTCCTGTTAAACTGTACATTAAAATGCCTTGCATTTGTACGTGCTAAATATGATATATAATTGTCTTAGCATTTATACCTGTAAGTCTGATATGTGGCCTAATCCGCATTGCATAAGTAATATCATATCTTAGTAGTGTATCACAACTAATCCTATTAATATTTGTCTGTATCTGTTGCTATAACTGTATATGCTTATAATCAAGGTGCAGTATTATTCACTCCCTTATGCTGAGCTAATTAGTGTTGTAAATATGAATGCTGTAATGTCATAATCATTGTCCACTTTCCTCTGTCTGTGTTAATTTCCGCTAGATATTTGCAATGCAGTAATATATGGCGCAGCTTTTATGTGAATCTATCATACCATACACGAATATGTCATTGTCTTATGTATATCTACAGGCCAACTGTACCTTAACCCATAATTTATATGTATTACCGATAAGTATTGTATGTAGTGCACTCCTTAATACCAATTTCAAATATTTATGTAATCTCTCATTATTCTAATTTCCAAACTCTAGATAAAGGTGGACGTGGCGCTGTACCAATTAACCGAATGGTAAAGGGATGGTGCCCACGTCCCCCGTCGCATATCGCATACTAGTACTCCTTTCGGGCTATTACAGTTATTGGGATATTCTATGATGCCATAGCCGGAAATCTCTGTTTTCGGCTATAGATCCAGGGAGTAAAATTTCTGTTCTTGCCGGTATTGTGATATTGTCTTGTGCTATGTTTCTGTGGACAGATTTAACTCCTTCATTATTAATTCCAAATAACGTTATGTCCTCAGACGCAAAATGCAATTCGTTATTTTTAAAGTCCAAGGAAAAATTATATTTCCTTAAAAAGTCTTATCCGATTATGCAAGGATCTGTAACGTCTGCTACATATGCCATGTGATGGTAAGCGGCACTTCGAAACGTGATGTTAACGTTTACTTTCCCCGCGATATCGATCTTCTCACCGGACACAGTCTGGAGGGTAACGCAGGGCGGCGCCCAGAGAAGTTTGCTTCCCAATTGTTGAGCCAAATCTTTTCGGATGATGGTAACGTTGGCTCCTGTATCTATAGTCATATTGCAGGGAACTCCATTAAATATATGTCCTATTATAAAAAGTCCATTACTGCCGCGTCTGAAGAATTCAGAAATCTGAAGTGCTTTAAACTGGGGCTTTTCATTATCTGGCAACCACCGCCCCGCGAGATGGCCACTAATTAGTTTCCCTGCTGTTTGTTAGGAGCGGTCTTAACATCCGTACCCTGGGGTATTCTGCAGTTTCGTCGTATGTGTCCTTCAAAACCGCAGTTCCAGCACTTAACGGTCGGGTTCTTCTCACCAATATCCGTCTCAAGCCGTTCAGTTGTCTAGTTAAATCGTCTAGACGAGCGGTGACTTGATCCCCTGGCTCCTGGACTTGAGCAGCTCTGACTGGGTGGCGGTCTCGACGAGTAGCTTGCTGGGCTGCCTCGAATTTCATGGCGTACACTAAAGCGCTTTTCAAATCTTTAACATCCGCCATTCGCAGTGCTTTCTGTATTTCAGGGTCCCGGATGCCATCGATGAAATATTTCGATGAAATACAGGAGTTCCCTTGTTTCTGTCGGGCACTCCGTAAAGGCGAGGTGGGACAGCCTTTCAACATCCGTGACGAGTTCCTGGAGTGATTCGGTGGCCTTCTGTTGACGGGGTTTTAATTGAAGCCTGCTGTACTCTTTTAAATATTTCTCGCCAAAGCGCAGCTCCAATGCGCCGGATAGAGCTTCGAAGTCAAGTCTTTGGTTTTCGGGAAGCATCTGCAGTATATCCGCTGCGTCTGCTCGCAGAGAAGCGGCGAGATGACAGGCCTTAGTTTGGGAATCCCATCCAATCGCATCCGCAACTATAGAAAATTGGGTCTTATACATTTGCCAGGATGTCTTCCCATCATATGTGGATAGCTTCAGAGGTGGACGTGCAGGCATCGGTAAGCATTTAAAATCATCACTCCTGCTCCCTGCCGACGCTACGAATTTCTTTAAAGTATCCATTTCTTTGGCAACTTCAGACACTCTCTCATCAATTTGCTGTTCGACTTGTTGTTTAACGGAATAAACTCTGTCTTCTATTTGCTCTTTCACAGAAGAAACGTTTTCTTAAATTTGTCCAACTTTAATTTCGACCGCGTTTATTCTGCCTTCCATAGCCTCAAATTTATTTTCTATTACGCAGGTAATTTCTCTTTTCATTTCGTCCTGACCTGCTTTCATGTCATCTTTAAGGGATTTCATCTCTTCCTTAAACGATTCCTGGCCCAATTTCATTTCTTCTTGAATTTCTTCTTTAAAAGATGTTTGGCCAGCTTCCATCTTTTCTTGGAACGCAGCAAAAGCAGTAATGAACTGTCTCAATTGTTCTTCCATCCCTCTTGTTATTGGCATTCAAACCCCACTCCTGAAAGCAAAAATTGTTGCGTGCGTACGGGTTCGTTATAAAATGAATGCACAAGTCCGATTAAAAATGAACAAAAATTTATTATTATCACAACAAAAATGCTTAAA